TTCTCACCATATTCCACACTTGTTTCACTCAGATATATTTTTCTCACCATATTCCACACTTGCTTCACTCAGATATATTTTTCTCACCATATTCCACACTTGCTTCACTCAGATATATTTTTCTCACCATATTCCACACTTGCTTCACTCAGATATATTTTTCTCACCATATTCCACACTTGCTTCACTCAGATATATTTTTTCTCACCATATTCCACACTTGCTTCACTCAGATATATTTTTCTCACCATATTTCCACACTTGCTTCACTCAGATATATTTTTCTCACCATATTCCACACTTGCTTCACTCAGATATATTTTTCTCACCATATTCCACACTTGCTTCACTCAGATATATTTTTCTCACCATATTTTTGCTTCACTCAGATATATTTTTCCATATTCCACACTTGCTTCACTCAGATATATTTTTTCTCACCATATTCCACACTTGCTTCACTCAGATATATTTTCTCACCATATTCACACTTGCTTCACTCCAGATATATTTTTCTCACCATATTCCACACTTGCTTCACTCAGATATATTTTTCTCACCATATTCCACACTTGCTTCACTCAGATATATTTTCTCACCATATTCCACACTTGCTTCACTCAGATATATTTTTCTCACCATATTTACACTTGCTTCACTCAGATATATTTTTCTCACCATATTCCACACTTGCTTCACTCAGATATATTTTTCTCACCATATTCCACACTTGCTTCACTCAGATATATTTTTCTCACCATATTCCACCTTGCTTCACTCAGATATATTTTTTTCATATTCCACACTTGCTTCATAGATATATTTTTCTCACCATATTCCACACTTGCTTCACTCAGATATATTTTTCTCACCATATTCCACACTTGCTTCACTCAGATATATTTTCTCACCATATTCCACACTTGCTTCACTCAGATATATACCATATTTTGCTTCACTCATATATTTTTCTCACCATATTCCACACTTGCTTCACTCAGATATATTTTTCACCATATTCCACACCTTCACTCAGATATATTTTTCACCATATTCCACACTTGCTTCACTCAGATATATTTTCTCACCATATTCCACACTTGCTTCACTCAGATATATTTTTTCACCATATTCCACACTTGCTTCACTCAGATATATTTTTCTCACCATATTCCACACTTGCTTCACTCAGATATATTTTTTCTCACCATATTCCACACTTGCTTCACTCAGATATATTTTTCTCACCATATTCCACACTTGCTTCACTCAGATATATTTTTTCTCACCATATTCCACACTTCACTCAGATATATTTTTCTCACCATATTCCACTTGCTTCCTCAGATATATTTTTTCTCACCATATTCCACACTTGCTTCACTCAGATATATTTTTCTCACCATATTCCACACTTGCTTCACTCAGATATATTTTTCTCATACCATATTCTTCACAGATATATTTTTCTCACCAGATATATATTTTTTCTCACCATATTCCACACTTGCTTCACTCAGATATATTTTCTCACCATATTCCACACTTGCTTCACTCAGATATATTTTTCTCACCATATTCCACACTTGCTTCACTCAGATATATTTTTTCACCATATTCCACACTTGCTTCACTCAGATATATTTTCTCACCATATTCCACACTTGCTTCACTCAGATATATTTTTCTCACCATATTCCACACTTGCTTCACTCAGATATATTTTCTCACCATATTCCACACTTGCTTCCTCAGATATATATTTTTCACCATATTCCACACTTGCTTCACTCAGATATATTTTTTCTCACCATATTCCACACTTGCTTCACTCAGATATATTTTTCTCACCATATTCCACACTTGCTTCATCAGATATATTTTTTCTCACCATATTCCACACTTGCTTCACTCAGATATATTTTTCTCACCATATTCCACACTTTTCACTCAGATATATTTTTCTCACCATATTCCACACTTGCTTCACTCAGATATATTTTTCACCATATTCCACACTTGCTTCACTCAGATATATTTTTTCTCACCATATTCCACACTTGCTTCCTCAGATATATATTTTCTCACCATATTCCCACTTGCTTCACTCAGATATATTTTTCTCACCATATTCCACACTTGCTTCACTCAGATATATTTTTCTCACCATATTCCACACTTACTTCACTCAGATATATTTTTCTCACCATATTCCACACTTGCTTCACTCAGATATATTTTTCTCACCATATTCCACACTTGCTTCATCAGATATATTTTTCTCACCATATTCCACACTTGCTTCACTCAGATATATTTTTCTCACCATATTCCACACTTGCTTCACTCAGATATATTTTTCTCACCATATTCCACACTTGCTTCACTCAGATATATTTTTTCTCACCATATTCCACACTTGCTTCACTCAGATATATTTTCTCACCATATTCCACACTTGCTTCACTCAGATATATTTTTCTCACCATATTCCACACTTGCTTTCCTCAGATATATTTTTTCACCATATTCCACACTTGCTTCTCAGATATATTTTTCTCACCATATTCCACACTTGCTTCACTCAGATATATATTTTCTCACCATATTCCACACTTGCTTCACTCTAGATATATTTTTCTCACCATATTCCACACTTGCTTCCTCAGATATATTTTTCTCACCATATTCCCACTTGCTTCACTCAGATATATTTTTTCTCATATTCCACACTTGCTTCACTCAGATATATTTTTCACCATATTCCACACTTGCTTCACTCAGATATATTTTTCTCACCATATTCCACACTTGCTTCACTCAGATATATTTTTCTCACCATATTCCACACTTGCTTCACTCAGATATTTTTCTCACCATATTCCACACTTGCTTCACTCAGATATATTTTTCTCACCATATTCCACACTTGTTTCACTCAGATATATTTTTCTCACCATATTCCACACTTGCTTCACTCAGATATATTTTTCTCACCATATTCCACACTTGCTTCACTCAGATATATTTTTCTCACCATATTCCACACTTGCTTCCTCAGATATATTTTCTCATATTCCACCATATTCCACAGACTTTTTTTTCTCAGATATACTTTTTTTCTCAGATATATTTTTCTCACATATCTTGCTTCTTCACTCAGATATATTTTTCTCACCATATTCCACACTAATTTCCTCAGATATATTTTTCTCTCACCATATTCCACACTTGCTTCACTCAGATATATTTTTCTCACCATATTCCACACTTGCTTCACTCAGATATATTTTTTCTCACCATATTCCCTTGCTTCACTCAGATATATTTTTCTCACCATATTCCACACTTGCTTCACTCAGATATATTTTTTCACCATATTCCACACTTGCTTCACTCAGATATATTTTTCTCACCATATTCCATAATTTTTCACTCAGATATATTTTCTCACCATATTCCACACTTGCTTCACTCAGATATATTTTTCTCACCATATTCCACACTTGCTTCACTCAGATATATTTTTCTCACCATATTCCACACTTGCTTCACTCAGATATTAATGTAAAGTTTTAATAAATATTTTCTGCACAATTCTCTTTTACTGGTTTTAATGATGCCTTGTGCCTTTGCATGGGCATATTGATAGTTCTGTAGTTTAATTTTTGTTGGCTGATGTTGAAACTTTTTAAATGTTTCTTTTTGGTCTTTAATGCCTTTCCTGTCTTTTGTAGTGAACCAAGGCTTACGTTTAACTTGACAGAGAATTTAGGGATTGTTTGTGCTACCAATTAAGTCAGTGGTTGAGTATTTTACTGGTAATTAAGGATTGACAGAGGTCTTTGAATGTCTGCCAGCTTGTCTTATTGATTGTGGTGAACAGTCCCGTAGAAGCAAGCGAGCCAGAGTGGCTTGCGTCTGGTGCATAGGAAAATAAGGGTCTTATCTCAACATGACATCGGCAAGTTTGCTGTGTGAAAATGGCATTGCTCTCTTGTCTAGCCATTCCAGCAGTATGTGTGATAACAAGGGTTTTTGTATAGTTTGGCATGCTTCAACCAATAGCAAGTCGTGTGCTGATTGGTTGAACAGGAGGAGGCTATTTACCTGAGTAACTGAGAATAAAAGCGAAGAACGCTCATTAGTTGGTCGACCGCGGTGTCAGCCTGATAAAAGAGGGCTGAAGCAGTGAGAAGAGGGAAGACGGATTTATGTTTTGAAGTGCTGGGAAAGCAAGAATGGTGTATTGAACAAGTGGTATCTTGATTTGTATAAGCAACGTCTTAGTAATAGAGACTCATTTAAGCTACATAGATCTACCATTTAGGGATTCTCTCTCCTCTGATAATGGTTTATTGGAATCAATGAAAATAGGAGAGTGATTACTCCTACATAGATCTTCATGTACTCACACCTCTATTGGAGATACATGACATAAAAACAGAAGCTGGATGGAGGTAAGTAGAGGATTTGTAATTGAATAAACACAAGTTTGTACTCTGTTTTCAATGCTTTGGCTAACTGGGTTAGAGTCTATGCAAACCCAAAATTTGCTATGGTCATTAAAGTCTCCAACCAGTAAGAAAGGAGTTAGTAAATTGGTCAATTGGTATATTAATTTCAGTTTGTTTTAATTTGTATCTTGAAGGGTTATAATGAGCATATGGTTAAAGTCTGATGAAAAGTGATTTTAATAGCTATGGCCTGCAGATTTATGTTTAAGTGTAGTCCCTCATCTGGAGTGGTACCTTTTACCAGTATCGAGGTCCCCCCCATCCAGTCTATTATCTATGACTGACCAGAAGATTTTATTATAATTTTTATATTCTTTAAAAGTTATCAGGTTCTTTTTGCTTTAGAATTTTAAAAGGAGGAAAATAAAATTTTGTTTCTTTCAATTAAAATGAAATCCATTTCTAACATCAGACTAAAATACCTGAAATTTAATAATACTAATAACAACAATATGAAAGGGCAACTAATCAAGATTGACCAAC